TACCATCGGAAGTTCCAAACATGGGCAACTAGGGAACCCACAGGCAGATGGTGAATCTGTTTGCACTGTTGGAGGAGTACTTAAGAATGAGTTTGTGACAGAGATATCATCTGGTTCTTCCCACGTAGCCGTGCTGACTATGAACGGAAAGGTTTTCACCTGGGGTAAAGGTGCGGACGGACAACTTGGTTTAGGTGACTATGCCAATAGGAGCTCTCCTACTTTAGTAGAGGCATTAGAAGGTAGACAAGTTCAGAGTATAGCTTGTGGCTCCAATTTTAGTGCTGCAATCTGTTTGCACAAGGGTATCTCAGTGAAGGACCAACCCATATGCAGCAGATGTCAGATGGTTTTTAATTTTACTAGAAAGAAACACAACTGTTACAACTGTGGTTCCATGTTCTGCAACTCTTGCAGTAGTAACAAGACCGCAAACGCAGCACTTGCGCCAGACAGGAACAGAAGGTATCGTGTCTGCGATGCGTGTTTCTGTCAACTAGAGAAAGCCTTGTACTCTGGCGAAGTCAAGCCACAGCCAAAGATCAGCAAAGGAGAAATGTTTAAAGCAGAAATAATGGCATACACACCTAAGTTGTCACGTTTGTTCAAGGAAGCAAACCTCATTGTTGAAAAGATGGCTTCAGTACAAGGTCCCAATCAAAGAAATGTGGACTCTGCCGTTCCGATACAAGTGAAAACTCAAAGATGGGGGCAAGTTGAGTGTCCCGCCCAATTTTTATCTGCACAAGACAATTTCAGACATCAGCTGGTGCCAGATAATCAGATGTCTGGTGTCTCTTTTTCCCAAAGAATGCATGATGCTGTAGGGTTGAAGGCTGGAAACCCTTTGCGGCAGTCTACTGACAGCCAGAGAGATGAACTGAGTATGATGGAAAGAATACTCACGGAGGAAGTAAAGCAGCTGCGATCACAAGTAATTCTTTTTCCATTGCTGAGCAAATTAATTGTTTCCCCCTTTGAGAACTGAAGAACGCTGATATTATTATTGTTGTTCAACCTGCAGGTCACGACTCTTGCAGAGCAATGCCAGCAGAAAAATCTTGTAGTCCAAGTGTACAAACAAAGACTTGATGAAACATGGCTAATTGTTAGGGATGAGGCTGCAAAGTGTAAAGCTGCCAAAGATATCATAAAGGTTCTGACTAATCAGGTATGATCTCCATGTAACCTCATTACACGGTATTGGTAGTTTCTTTTCCGGTAACAGATAACTCATATGCTGCATGATGGATCACTCATTGCTCCCCCTTGATATATGACCTGTTCGGCCGTTGTAAACTGTGCAGTGCAATGCCTTGTCAGCGAAACTTTCAGTTGGCCAGCAACCAGAGAACTCAAAGATGACACCTAATAGCATCCCGGAACAAGCACCGTCACCAGGTGCCACAGATAGATCATTCAGTCATCAAAATATCGCCAGAACATTCGACCGTGATGGCTACACCACCGAAGCAGACTCCGTGGACACTCCTGTTGAGGGTGTTATAGAGCAGATTGAGCGAGGGGTGTATGTCACACTTGCCGTATCCCCTGGTGGAAGGAAAGACATAAGGCGGATAAGATTCAGGTGAAAACTATGAAGCCTTACCTGTTACCGTTGATGATTATTATTTAGCTGCCACTATACTTATGTGATAATCTCGGTCTGCAGTCGGAAGCATTTTGGCGAGAAGGCAGCTCAGTGCTGGTGGGAAGAGAACAAGAGCAGGGTATATGCAAATTATAGCAGCGTTGAGCAAGTGGCAACACCACACCCGAACCGCGCTTAATGGCGACGACCGGTAACATGATTGTACAGAGGTAACCGGTGCTACCAATGTTAACTGACCAAACTGAACAGTCTTCAGCAAGTAGGCCTACTTGTGCATGAAGCTGATGGAATTTTGTAAGCTGATACCAAGTGATCTGATCTACCATTTGCTTTGTACAATGGAGGGCAGTCAAGACTTACTCCCATAGATCTGATCTACCATTTGACCTGAGTACTACTGTAGATATGCTTCCGGTAGGAATTGGCGCGACGGTATCTATCAACCTATGTGGATTTAGTTGCACATAGGTTTGATGCTGATGAGATGGGAACACATGGTTGCGACCAATATGGTCTCCTGTCGTGTTCCTGATTGGAATGTCAATGTGTCATTGATGAAGAAAAACAAAGCTGATGCCGCATCAGTTCTGAATCGAACCTTGATGATCAGTATATGATTTCTGTTCCGACGGAGGACGAGCTTAATACAAACCCTCGAAAGCTTCATCCTCCCACGGGCCGCAGCAATGGCGAGCGCCCGCGCCGTCTTCGCCGCCCGCCGCCGCTCGGGCCGAGATCCAGTGCCTTGCTGTGGTCTCAAGTCTCCGCGCGCATTGCCCCCCAACCATCCACCGTCCAAATCAATCCTACGGCCAGCAGCGCCGGCTGCACCTCTAGGGTGATCTCAGTCCGGCGGCGTGCGATGGAGAAAACGGCCTCGAAGGCCCTCTCCACCACCTCCGGCTACTCCCTCCGCCCCGAATTCGACGGCTCACTCGCCCCACCGACGGCCCCCTTTGACAGCCTCCTCTGCCCCCTCCGACGACCCCATCTGACACCTCAATAAAGTGGGCTTCTTTACCGCCGGTAGCTACGAGCCCAGCAATGATTCAGAGTAGAACATGGGTTCAGCCGTCGCGACTCAGAGAACAAACAACAGAGCCCAATTTCTTCAGGCAGAGAACAGAGCAGAACATCGGTTCAGGTAACATAATACTCCCTCCGTTCCAAATTACTCGTCGTGGTTTTAGTTCAAGAACTAAAACTAAAACCACGATGAGTAATTTGGAACGGAGGGAGTACTAGATAATACAGTTCAGTTCATCGAAACAGCAGCAAAACAGCAGCAGATCGGCAAACGGCAGTATTACAAGGCTGTAAACGACACAACACAGTTTAGTTCAGTTCAGTTCAGTTCAGTTTAGCAAACACCACCACTTCAGTTCAGTTTAGCGAACATCAAGCAAAAAGGAAAACCTGAGTCATACTTATGTACAGGTACAGGTCTCAATACTACCACCCGTGCACTTTTAACACATGGGCATTCAGTTAACAGGTTCAGGGAAACAACAACAGAAAGTTTAACACATTACAGATTCTTTTGTAGGTCTGAACAAACTAATTTTTGAAGTACTTAACATTGAAAATTGTTCTTACATAAATTCATTCAAGTACGTAGATTTGGCCCTTTTACTTGTACACTTAGTCCACAAAAGACTGTAGTCAACCCTGTCCAAAATACTAGTCAAGACTGCCCACAATACTAGTATCTAACAAGCTTATACATGCAAGAACATATCTTCATCACAAGTGGTAGCTGTCAAGAGTTGCGTGTCACTCATGATCGTGTTGCACTCTTGAAACTCCATATCTGCTCCTCTATCGCGGCCATCCTTCTCCACTCCTACTTGAGGCTCTACACCATCATGTTTCTTTTGCTGATGCAATAAAAATTCTAGTAAGTAGTTTAGGAATGAATGGTAACAAGATATCACATATTGCTACATATCTTTGCTCTTTTATTTTTTGGATGCAACAATTTTAGTTGGCTGGCGCTTCCCTTTGAGTAACTTAGCAAGCCGAGTTTTCTTTCTCCTCATTTCTTTTGGTTGAACTTCTTTTTTCTTTAGCTTTGCAGCACTAAGAACCTCATCTGTTTGTTGCACATTTGGGTCAACATTTTTTTGGCCATTGCATGGCTTATTTGCCGCATTATCCAACAATAAACAACATTCTAGTACATAATTATTACATCGCTCATCAACCCACAAGCTAAAATTCAACACAATTGCTCATCAAACATAACACGAAGTTCCATTCCACGTCCACGTCCATCACTCCACGATGAGGTATCTTTGAAGATGTTAGTGAGTTTCTGCATCTCGAATTTCGTATTGAACTTGGAAAGAGTCGGATGTGGTCTTTCCTTCTAATTGGACACACCATATTCTTACCTGAATTCGTAGTAGTAATCCAAATCTTGGCCACACTTATTGTTAGTGGTCTTGTTGTGCAAGATCACGGTGGCAGTTAATCCCAAATGCCCTTTCCACATCTTTTCTTGCACCTAAAGCAGACGCCGCCTGCTTCCTCACACCACAAGGCGTCGCTAGGCTATACATCAGCGATAGGCTTCTCGACCCTATTCCTTGCAACCGTTGAGGATACGAAGACAACTAATCTGGATTCCCGCACGAAGAACTACAGACACAAAATCTTATTGTTCGTCAGCACGGATCTTGAAGTACACTGAGGGGGTGCATTGGAAGGTAAAAGGTAGTAGGGTGTTTTTTAGTCGAAAAGTAGTAGCGTTAGGGATGCAAATTTGTGACCCTCACCCTATTTATTTGAACTAAACAAAGTAAAATTTCAGAAGTTGTGAGACATCTTCCTGACTTTTTTGTTGATTTAGTTGTTGAGCGAAAGAGGGTCATAGAATACCTTCAAGGTTACCTATTTGTAGGTTGGTTTTCATCTGCTAGTGTCTGATTCTTCTGATTCAAGTTCACACCTGTGGGTGGGTAAAACACATATAACATGATCCGTAATTCTGGAAGTTCTTCCGTGAGGACGTCTACAGAAGAAGGCTTAAACAGCCAGTCCTCATCTAATTATATTCACCCAACACAACACATCATCTAGTATAACAACTATAGTACAGTGGTACTTATGAAGTATTCAGTTCATTTGACATGCTTAAACATTTTGCAAGTAGGGCGTCGGTGTTCGGTTCATCTGTCAAAAGCATAGTACAACTAAGAAGGCCTTGCGGCATTCTCCTGCCATGCCATTGATGAGAGCTGTGCAATAGTTAATTTACATCAGGGCGATCGATCCTACTACAACTACGCCAAAATTATATAGGTCAAACGTCGACCTCTGAACCTCCGCCAATGGGGCGAGATCACAGACGCCCAATGAACACTCTGTACCTCAGGCCTTCCATGGTTTACAAGCAGAGCCTCGTCATCTCTCTATCCGCCTCCTCCCTGGGAGCCTGGGGCTGCATCGCCTTGCTCTCGGCCGCGCACCTCTTGTACGGCATGAAACCTCGCTGCTGGACGAAGGCCGGGCTCACACGCTCTCTCAAACCTGCAGCATGCACCATTTCGTCGTCGCCGCCAACCGCTCCCGTGCATGACTCTGCAGAATTCCGGGCTGTTGTTTCAGCCACACTGCTGGAGGCCGTGTTCGACGACGCTTCCCTCCGCCTAAGCTCGGCGGCGGCTTCGGAAGCATGTTGCTGGTGCTGTTGATCTGCCTTGGGGCTTGATGACACGGGGTACGGCACACTTCCATTGTTGTAGCCGAAGAAAACTGCCCCTTGAGGAACATAGTACATGAACTGCTGCGAGTTTGCCAGCCATGGGCTCCATGTGTTCGCCTCTGGTGCACTGGTGGGTGTCTCGGCCGAAGTATCCAGTTCCATATCCGCGGCAGTTTGCAGGTTGCAAGTGCCAGGGTTTGGCAGCTGATGTGATTCATTCACAACAACTGTCTTTCCAAACAGCTTCAGGACCGGAGCATCGGACGTGTTGTCACACACCACTTCTTCTGAAGTACCACTACTGCCCTTGGATTTCTGAAACACACAATCAAGAAAATTCATCAGAATTGGAAAGATTGAAGAATTTCATTGCATTCAGTAATAATAATGAAATATCTGCTGGTGTTTTGATATTTTGTGGACATGTTAAGACCGGATAGCTACTCTTGCAAGATATTACTATGCTTTTGCTGGGAGTATACCTTGGAATCATTGGTTGGTGGCGCTAGCACAGCGACCTCGGCGGTCCCCGTGCTCGGCGTGGGGCATCGCTCTTCAACGTCGATGGTCGAGGTGTCGCTGTCGAAGCTCTCGGAGCCGCCCAAGCCTATCTGCGAGGTGGTCACCACGGATGTCGGCGAGCCATTCCCCTGCTCACACATGGACAGCTGAGGCTTGTCGACCCGGAGGAGCGCGGCGTGGGCGTGCTTCCCCGGCTGCGCGCTCCTCTGGTTGCACGGGTACGGGTGCACCGACTTCCTCTTGGGCCGCGGCGGCGGGATCTGGATCGGCGGCCCGGCACCGCCGGAGCTGCTGCCGCCGCTGTCGCCGGACGAGTCCCGGGTGACCTTGGAGAAGAACTTCTGCGCATGGCTCCTGATCTGCACGGCCGTCTTGGTGCCTATGTGCTCTGCGGAGTGGAAGAAACCATTTGTCAGATCATGAGGATTTTTTGTCATTTTTACTCGGATGATAAGGTATCATCAGACACGGAGAAATTCTTGGGGAGGAAAGGCACCTTGAATTCGGCGCCAGGCGCGGCCATGGAGCTGCATGGCCTCCAGGAAGAGCTTGTGCTCCTCCTCGGTCCATTTCTCGCGCTGCTTGGTTATCATGTACGGCTTCCGCGCCTTGGGGGCTCGGGCCTCGGCCATCATCCGCGTATCGCTGCCGGAATTCAGCAGATCCGGCTTGGTTTCCTTCAGGAGGAAGAAAGGAGAGGATTTTGTTAGACTCGATTCGAAGGGTAAACGTTGAATTTTCTGCTTTGGATTTTTGTTTCACCAAACTAAATTCTAGTGCAGAAATAAAAGATATTTTCCAACCAACAAATATCTAGCATCTTTTTTCGTTTGAAAACAAAAGAAAAACAGTTCTGGCGGCCGTGGATCTTTCATCAACATGTTCAACTCCAACTAAAATCACATCTGAGCAAAGATGGAGCGATTATTACCTGAAAACGCGCCATATCTCTCTGCAGATCCTTCAAGATCAAAGCGCCGGCAAAGCCAAATCTCGCTGCGACGACCACGACGAAGAACAGAGGCGAAATCAGCAGCTCCTAATCTTTGTTGTTGCTTCTCGCTCCAAAGGAGAGCAGAGCAGGAGAGGAGAGGAGAGGAGAGGAGATGAGGAAAATGAGGAGGCGTGTGCTGCGACGGGGAGGGAGGGGAGGGGGGAGAAAAAGAGCTCGGCCAGGGGTGCCACCTCGGACGGGATTTTTGGTTGCTTTGCGCTTTTCCCCGGTGCGCTTTTCTGACTCGCGCAAATATCCTAGCGCCCAAATGTGTTCATCCATGTGCTGTGCTCCCCGCCCGTGGGGTGGCGCTGCACGAAATGGATGCGTCTTCGTCCTGCCCGTTGGGTGACTGTCTATCCATCGCCTCTTTTTTTCACCCTTTTTTCTTCTTTTCCGCAAGATTTCAGCTGTGGTGCGCGCGTGTTTTACCGACACTTTTGATGGATGTGTTTTGTTAGGCCGAAATTTCGCCGGTCAGTGAGGGTATTGGCACATCAAGAATTTCGACTAGTGTTCCTGGTGATTGATCAGGCTTTCTTTTCTGAGAAAAAGCGTTGGTGAGGTTTCGGGCATGCTGGGTTTTCCTTTTTGGAAGAGACATGAGAATCGTAGTCGGCCAGGTTACATACATCAAGAATCATAGTCGGCCGATCGGTTAAGTGAGACTTTAGTATTACGAAAAGGATGACGAAACTAAAGATAAGTTAAGCAATTGAACACTAAAAAGAGAGGCTAGAACAGTTCATTAATTAAGTTAAAATATCATATACGAAAAACGGGGCCTTAGAAATAACCGATTTTCTTATAATCACATACTCCCTAAAGTTTTTTTCTTCTACACGTAGCGATTAGTAGATATTTACCGCTTGATTTGTGGGACGAAAAAGCGCAAGAGACTGGAATACCATCTTCACACGTCGAACAAGCAAAATCCAAAATATCTAAGTGTTCCCCTACACAAATATCATGGAGTTTCGATCGGCAAAAGAGCATGCAAAACCCAAAAGCGTAGCCAAAGGATACCTAGCATCTTGCCTCCAGAAATATCTAGAAAACCTGCATTGTCATAAATGATAAACACCATCATTGGAATAATCATTTTTCTTATAATCAGGTACTTGCTAAAGTTTTATTTCTTCTACACATGGTGATCATATATTTCCCTCTTCTTTGGTTGAAAGAAAAAAGTGTGAGATGCCAAAATACAAATATCGGCTCCACACGTGGATGAAGCAAAATGCAAAAGGGTAGCCATGAATATCTAGCTGCTCTCCTCGACAAATATCTTGCGTCTCGATCTAGCAAGGAACGATCATATACTTTAATAATCTGTTGTGGAAAGCGATATGGCTAATTAAACAATCACTAAATCGACCAAAAACCTTGTCGGGCAAGCTGGGGCATTAGAGATAATCATTTTTATCATAATCAGATACGCTTATTCATCTACATGTAGCTATTAGATATTTGCCTCTTGTTTTGTGGAAATAGCAAATGGGTCTCAGGAGTCAGGTCCCATTGCAGCACCTGAATTAGATTTTTTTCTAGAAAATTCAAAAGGAGAGAAAAATTCTGAAACCATTTGGTTTCAAACATGCTCAGGTATTACACTGTGAAAATATGCTAGTTTTAAGTATTCTTGGTAATGAATCAAGCGTTTTGCATAGAAGTGTGATGATAGTAAAGTTTTGCGCATCCTAGTTTCCTTTTTTGGAAGAGATATGCTACTCAGCTGTCTAAGGATCATAGTCGGCCAAGCTACGTACATGAAGAATCATATCCGTCTAGTAAGAATCATATCCTTTTTTCATCTTCGATTGTGTCAGTTAGATGAGGCTTCATTAATTCTAATACACATTTTATAACCTACTGTTGTATTCTAAAAAATGGCGAAAAAACTAAATATAAGTTGGTTAAATAAACACTAAAATAAAGGCTAGAACGGTCCATTAAGTTGAAATATCATATATGAAAAACGGGGCCCTAGAAGTAACCGATTTCCTTATAATCACATACTCTCTGAAGTTGTCTTCTTCTACATGTAGCGATTAGTAGATATTTACTGCTTGATTTGTGGGACGAAAAAGCGCAAGAGACTGGAATACCATCTTCACACGTCAAACAAGCAAAATCCAAAATATCTAAGTGTTCCCCTACACAAATATCTTGGAGTTTCGATCGGCAAAAGAGCATGCAAAACCCAAAAGCGTAGCCAAAGGATACCTAGCATCTTGCCTCCAGAAATATCTAGAAAACCTGCATTGTCATAAATGATAAACACAATCATTGAAATAATCATTTTTCTTATAATTAGGTACTTGCTAAAGTTTTATTTCTTCTACACATGGTGATCATATATTTCCCTCTTCTTTGGTTGAAAGAAAAAAATGTGAGATGCCAAAATACAAATATCGGCTCCACACGTGGATGAAGCAAAATGCAAAAGGGTAGCCATGAATATCTAGCTGTTCTCCTCGACAAATATCTTGCGTCTCGATCTAGCAAGGAACGACCATATACTTTTATAATCTGTTGTGGAAAGCGATATGGCTAATTAAACAATCACTAAATCGACCAAAAACCTTGTCGGGCAAGCTGGGGCATTAGAGATAATCATTTTTATCATAATCAGGTACGCTTATTCATCTACATGTAGCTATTAGATATTTGCCTCTTGTTTTGTGGAAATAGCAAATGGGTCTCAGGAGTCAGGTCCCATTGTAGCACCTGAATTAGATTTTTTTTAGAAAATTCAAAAGGAGAGAAAAATTCTGAAACCATTTGGTTTCAAACATGCTCAGGTATTACACTGTGAAAATATGCTAGTTTTAAGTATTCTTGGTAATGAATCAAGCGTTTTGCATAGAAGTGTGATGATAGTAAAGTTTTGCGCATCCTAGTTTCCTTTTTTGGAAGAGATATGCTACTCAGCTGTCTAAGGATCATAGTCGGCCAAGCTACGTACATGAAGAATCATACCCGTCTAGTAAGAATCATATCCTTTTTTCATCTTCGATTGTGTCAGTTAGATGAGGCTTCATTAATTCTAATACAAATTTTATAACCTACTGTTGTATTCTAAAAAATGGCGAAAAAACTAAATATAAGTTGGTTAAATAAACACTAAAATAAAGGCTAGAACGGTCCATTAAGTTGAAATATCATATATGAAAAACGCGGCCCTAGAAGTAACCGATTTTCTTATAATCACATACTCTCTGAAGTTGTCTTCTTCTGCACGTAGCGATTAGTAGATATTTACCGCTTGATTTGTGGGACGAAAAAGCGCAAGAGACTGGAATACCATCTTCACACGTCGAACAAGCAAAATCCAAAATATCTAAGTGTTCCCCTACACAAATATCTTGGAGTTTCGATCGGCAAAAGAGCATGCAAAACCCAAAAGCGTAGCCCAAGGATACCTAGCATCTTGCCTCCAGAAATATCTAGAAAACCTGCATTGTCATAAATGATAAACACAATCATTGAAATAATCATTTTTCTTATAATCAGGAACTTGCTAAAGTTTTATTTCTTCTACACATGGTGATATTATATTTCCCTCTTCTTTGGTTGAAAGAAAAAAATGTGAGATGCCAAAATACAAATATCGGCTCCACACGTGGATGAAGCAAAATGCAAAAGGGTAGCCATGAATATCTAGCTGCTCTCCTCGACAAATATCTTGCGTCTCGATCTAGCAAGGAACGACCATATACTTTTATAATCTGTTGTGGAAAGCGATATGGCTAATTAAACAATCACTAAATCGACCAAAAACCTTGTCGGGCAAGCTGGGGCATTAGAGATAATCATTTTTATCATAATCAGATATGCTTATTCATCTACATGTAGCTATTAGATATTTGCCTCTTGTTTTGTGGAAATAGCAAATGGGTCTCAGGAGTCAGGTCCCATTGCAGCACCTGAATTAGATTTGTTTTAGAAAATTCAAAAGGAGAGAAAAATTCTGAAACCATTTGGTTTCAAACATGCTCAGGTATTACACTGTGAAAATATGCTAGTTTTAAGTATTCTTGGTAATGAATCAAGCGTTTTGCATAGAAGTGTGATGATAGTAAAGTTTTGCGCATCCTAGTTTCCTTTTTTGGAAGAGATATGCTACTCAGCTGTCTAAGGATCATAGTCGGCCAAGCTACGTACATGAAGAATCATATCCGTCTAGTAAGAATCATATCCTTTTTTCATCTTCGATTGTGTCAGTTAGATGAGGCTTCATTAATTCTAATACAAATTTTATAACCTACTGTTGTATTCTAAAAAATGGCGAAAAAACTAAATATAAGTTGGTTAAATAAACACTAAAATAAAGGCTAGAACGGTCCATTAAGTTGAAATATCATATACGAAAAACGGGGCCTTAGAAATAACTATTTTTCTTATAATCACATACTCCCTAAAGTTTTGTTCTTCTACATGTAGCGATTAGTAGGCATTTACCGCTTGATTTGTGGGACGAAAAAGCGCAAGAGACTGGAATACCATCTTCACACGTTGAACAAGCAAAATCTAAAATATCTAAGTGTTCCCCTACACAAATATCTTGGAGCTTCGATTGGCAAAAGAGCATGCAAAAACCAAAAGTGTAGCAAAAGGATACCTAGCATCTTGCCTCCAAAAATATCTAGAAAACCTGCATTGTCATAAATGCTAAACACAACATTGAAATAATCATTTTTCTTATAATCAGGTACTCGCTAAAGTTTTTTCTTCTTCACATGGTGATCATATATTTCCCTCTTGTTTGGTTGAAAGAAAAAAGTGTGAGATGCCGAAGTACAAATATCAGGTCCACACGTGGATGAAGCAAAATGCAAAAGGGTAGCCATGAATATCTAGCTGCTCTCCCCGACAAATATCATGCGTCTCGATCTAGCAAAGAACGACCATATAGTTTTATAATCTATTGTGGAAAGCGATATGGCTAA